CTGCGTAGCCGTTGTAACCCGACTCTCGGTTTTTTAAAACGGCCTGACCGCTTTATCGGCGCACTATAGCAGCACGGCACAGCGCAGCAACACCACAAACCGCAGCAGGACGGCAGACCAGAACGGCAGACCGCAGCACAGCTGACCACAGGAGAATTGCAGTCCAGCGCAGCGTCGTTGCAACAGACGGTACTGGTACACTCTTAACTTGTTGAGAACATCCCCAGCGAAATCGTCATGGTCGACCATGTTGAGGGCACTCTGGGGGTCATTTTGGGGCCCGTCTTGGTCTCGGGGGGCCGCACTGATGCCCTCAGAAATGATTCCAAAGACGACGTTAGACTCATTGATTATTTGATGAGTGCTCGGACGTCTCGAGGACGCCCTTAGGGCATAGTCTGCCGTTCCCCTCGTCTCGGTCTGCCGTGCTCCTCGTCTTGATCCTGCTTTCGGTTGTCTTGAGGGCGCTCCTGGGGCCTGGTCTGCCGTGCTCCTCGTCTTGGTCTGCCATGCCCCTCTCGAGCATCTCAATTTTGTGAGGACGTCTCAGGCGAAATGCTCATTTTTCAAATCCGCCAACGAAAACTCCCGTGCGATCTGCCACCCCATGTTTCGCGGCGCGCGCGGATCTTCGATAACTGCTTACATGCACAGTTTCAGCCACAACGTCCAGCTCGCTTCTCCTACCTCGAAGACGCTTTTTTGACAACGCTACCCCAACTTACGAGGTCTCGCGAGCCCCCACAAGGCCTGCCGACAGGGAGGCCTGCGCGCGTGCGCGTGCACGGACGCAACACACGAGGCGCCCACCCACTGGTGGGCAGCTTCGCACGTCAGTCATCGGCCCTCTGACCGTTGGACTGGTGACAAGCTAGAAAACGGCACTGAACGCATTTTACACCAAAACAAAACTGTAGCTCAATAGCCCACGCCACAAATTCAGGGGGCTCACGACGGGAGCCTCCCAATCAAGCGACTCAGTCACATTTCTTCTTGCCCTTTGCCTTTGGCTTTGCCCTGAACGCCCGCTCCACGACACAATCGCACACGGAGCAGGAGGCATAGCCGTCGTCGATCACTAGGCCTACTTTCTTCTCCCACCTCAACGCCTGCTTCAACGTGCCATTGGACTCGATTAGCTTCTGAAGACGATCTGCCGTCACAATCCAACGGACATTGCCCGCCTTCACCTCATTCATGCACTTAACCATGAAGCAGCGCGTGGCCTGAGGCGAGTTCTTCAGGAGAGCCACGGCACCAGCGGCTCCAGCAATTTCCACGGCCCCCTTCACGGCCGCCTCGTCGCCCACGCCCATGTCCACCCCCACGGGATCGGCGTTCACCTTCAGCGCCACGTGGAGGTGGTAGAGTACCGCACGCAGCTTCACGTCGAGCTTCTTGCCCTGGGGGTGGCCGAGGTAGTCCACTACCTTCACCTCCGCCTTGGCCTGTGCTGCCTTTCCCACCGCGTCGCGCGGCTTGATGGAACGGTCGTAGCCCAGCTCCAGCTTGCACTTGTTCTCCATCTCCGTCAATACTTTGTTGTCCTTGGCGCACGAGCGGTGGGTGTCCTCGCGCTGCAATCTCAGCTTGGCCATCTCCTCCAGCGGCCGTCGCTCGTTGCTGCTCAGGTTGAAGCCGGCGGCCGCTGATGAGGGTCTGACTTGGGGCTTGTCAGCTGGGGCATGGTCACAAAGAACATGTAGGTCGCTGAGTTGGCCACTAGTAATTCTGAGACCGCTCAAGCTCCCAAGCTGCACTCGATGACTACCTTTGATATTAGTACGTAGTGCAATCTTTTTGGATACTGCATTGACCACTCCGTCCTCGAGATGGCGAGATGATCGGTTAGAGGTCGTAATGATGTAGCATTCGCTCATATACTGTTGCCCAACGGGGAGCTGACCAAAAAGCTCCGTTGGAGGACTGTCTGCCATTGTTGGATCAATATCCCGCAGCTCATCAATGAATATGTCCTGGTACTGAGGCACTCTGCTGATCAGCGGTGCGATGGGTCCGCCAATGCCTCCAACCCCCGCCTCAGCCTCGGACCACTTCTGCCAGTTTTTTGCAGCGCCAGCAAGTAGGGGGTGGTCCCGAGCCTCCACATGTTGGGGCGGAGTACGCTTAGGAACGAGTCGACCCACTCGGACGGATTCCTCCAAGATCCTTTGGTAACGAGCTGGTCCCAATGCCACCGGGGTATCACTGGTAGCTGTAGCTAAGTCATGATCTCCAAAACGCATGGACGTCGCAATGTAGGCGATTCTGAACACACCCTGGCCGTCTGGATTGCGCCACGTTGTGCTACGGCCACTGTCACTGCCAATGGTGCCCCGTAGGGCAAGTACGTCCCCCTGTGCAGCAGCAGAGTGTCGAAGAACTTTGTCCCGTTGGCCAGGCATCAGCATAGTCTCGACTTTGTTTGACCATACCTTGATGAGGTCACGCCGTGATGAGCGGGAATGGGCAAGAAGAAAAGATTGGACGGGTACAGCACCGTTGAGTGCCGCCATTCTGCATAGCTTCGCCACTGCGTCCTGGCCCTC